CCCCCCCCCCCCCCTCAAAGCTCAAATTTCCATGACAGACTGTTGGTTTCTTTTTTCTTTTTTGTCCCCCTCAAAGTTTGAATCTCCCCCCTGAACCCCTCAACAAAAATCTGCAGTGTCCCCCCCCTAACAAACACATGAGGGGGGCATACTCACACTAGGGCTGCTTCTACTATGCTCTGAACGTGATTGCAGCCAGATGCATCCACGTTCGGACGCAATTGCGACCAGATGCATTTGCAACAAAAGTGCTGATGTGAGTATGCCATGGCATGGAAAACGATAACTTTTTCGGATCGTTGCTCCATGCTTGGGAAAAATGATGTGCGGCGGTTCGCAGACTTTGCTCTCGGGGGGGCAGCGGTGTTTTTTTTCTTTTTTTTCTTTTTTTTGCGGTGGTGGTTTTAAGTTTCACTCACACCCAGCAAAGACATTGCGACAAATGCGTTGATGACGGTGTGTTCTGTTTTTTTTTTTTTTTTTTTTTTTTTCCCATATGTCTCGAGTGTGTGTGTGCCACAGTTGCTAATGCTTCTGGTAGACGCACTCTTTCGGCAATACATATCAAAACATTCATATGAGGTGCGTAAGAATCATCCCCTTGGGCCAACTTTCAGTCCAGATACAGCAAAAAAAATGGCAAGAGTAAGAATCGTCTCCCCCTTGGGGCAACTTTTTCAGTCTAGATACAGTGAAAAAGCGGGAAGAGTAAGCATCCTCGCTTTGAGCTCTGTGTGTCTTTCCATCCCGTGTATCTCACACACATGCATGTGCATGGCTTCCCACATGGCACTCTCATCAACTGCCACATGGCACTCTCACTGACAGCCATGTGGCACTCACTCATTCTGGAACGACTGCCACGTGGCACTCTATTCGAATGCCATGTGGCATGCTGTTTTGCTGCGACATGTGACACATGATGATGTGCCTTGTAAAGTAAGAAAAAAAAAAAAAAAAAAAAAAAAAAAAGAGTAATTCTGCCATGCGCTCATCCCTGCGGTCTTCCCCTGGACAGAATATTGAGTCCAAAAGATAGCTTGTATACATTCATTATGCGGGTGTGTTGTGTTTGAGAGAAGAAGGAAGCACTGAGTTGGTCAGGCATGAGCCACAGCAGCCAAACTTGTCTCTTGTTTCATTACTTTTACGCAAGAAGCGATGTGGTGATCGTCGTCCGAGATCCCTCGGGCACAGGGGCGGTTCTGAAACTCGGAGGTCACGTCAGAGTGGCAGGCTGTCAGAAAAAGCTGACTTTGAAAAAAAAAGGGAAAAAAGGGGGATGCATTTGACCTAATGAAAAGGGTAATTTGAATTTCGAAGACGCAAAAAAAAAAAAAAAGAACGAGGACGGCAGGGTACCAACTTACCAAGTACTACCAACCCAAAAAGCTGACTTTGAAAAAAAAAGGGAAAAAGGGGGGATGCATTTGACCCAATGAAAAGGGTAATTTGAATTTCGAAGACGCAAAAAAAAAAAAAAAGAACGAGGACAGTAGGGTACAAACTTACCAAGTACTACCAACCCCCCAAGGTGTTGTATTGCCGGGGGAAGAA